GTAAACCATTTCTGCATCCATAGATGGCATCCCTAAAATCAGTACTGAGGCTTCAGCACAGCCATAATGGGTTCTGCCAGTAGCTGTGGAGCAGAGCAGGCTGAAGGTGCATTATAGGGAGTGTCATGTAAAAAGAGGCTTGAGGCAATGGGTATGAGGCCACAGACATTTGCCCCATAAACTGTAACTTCCCAGTAGCTCTGGATCTCCGTCTATCTACTCACGCCCAGTCTCGAGTAACTTGGAGTCAGATCAACTCTGTTCCAATCCATCCCGAGGCTCAGACTCAAGCAGGTTCTAATGACTCCGGTGCAGCCTTTGGCCATGGGATGCCAAAATCATCCATTGCTTTGCCTCATCTTCTCCAGGATTAACTTGGTAGGCACACACCTGCACCCTGCCCTTCCTTACTTATCCACTGACCACTGTCGCCCCTCCCATAAACACCAAATAAGGGAGGATGCTCTGTTGAGATGGACCAAAGCACTCTCCAAGACACTAAAGACTTGATCATGCCTTCCACAGGTGGACACCTTGAGTCGTTTGCTTAAAACAAGCCCTATAGCTATTTGGGTTGACCCCGGTTTAGTATTGTCCCTTTAAGCACCTTTGCTCCATTTGTAGAACAGAACCATGATAGCAAAAGATGCCCAGCGAGGACAGAAAGGAAAAAAATTGATAAAAGGTATATATTTTATTTGAATGAGGACTGTTTACTATAAAAATGGAGTTTACAACACAAATAAAACATTATTTCATAACATCCTGATATCTACACCAGAGTTCAAAGCCAGCACGATTTAATAGTAAAGCCAATGTAGGCTTTCTAAAGAATGTTATAAAAGGAGTGTGATCAACGCAGTAACATTGTCGAAGACACTACATATGAAATATTTAGATGCTGTAAATGAAAAATCACAACCTCCATAAATCATGAGAACATTAGATAACTACATTTCAGTTTCCAAGCTTCCAAAAATGGGGAAAAAAGTTTTTACTTCACCTCAATATTAAAAGAATAAGGTATTTTGGGTGGTCTAAAGATTCATTCCCTCAGGTATTTTAATTAAGAGTAATGCTGTTTCTAGAACCTTATAAGGCATTATCAATAATTATGGGGTTAATGGCAAGTGTTTTCACTTTCTTGGTTCATAATTTTCATTTAGATTAACATACTAGACTTCTCTGTCTTTTCTGCTCTTGGGTAAGTGAATGATTTATTAGACGTGGTACTCAGTTTATGAGCTTTTCTCATTTCAACTTAAAGAAACTGCAAATATTTATAGAAGATGAACCACATGTATTTGTTCCTGAAAAATGTCAGAACATAGCACTCAAATCAAGTGCAGAACAGAAGCTATTCCCTGACACTACATACTGTGTAGATTTAATTCCCATTGACATATTTTCCTAAACAGTTCTACCCACCACAGTAAGTCCTAACTCAGAAACTACTGCAATCTTTCATTAAGCATGTACTCACATATTACTGAGCTATGGGTATCTAAAGTCATATGGAATTTACACCAAAAAAATAAAAAAAATTTTAAAAATCATAACTTTAAAAAATATAATTGAATTTTGTTAAATTCATCTTACACAATGATGAAAACAGTAATTAAGCTTATGTTTAAACTGATTTTTCTTCATTTTGCTCTGTTACTTCAAGGGTGCTTTGTTCAACTCTGCAATAATACTCCAATTCCAGGCCATTAGAATGCAGGGAAATGAATCAATAGAGTACACAGTCCTCAAGGGCAGGGACCATGGCCAATACCCCTCTGCCTAGCAGTAATACTCAAATGTGTGTTGATTCGGGTAAGAAATCACCATGGGTGAGAGTGCAGATCAGTATAACCTTTCTTGAAGATATTTGGCAGTACAGGTTAAAAGCCTTAGAATTTTAAATACCCTTTGACCAGTAAGTCCATCTCTAGGAATTTATCCTAGAAAATTACACACGTGAGCAATGTTTGAATTCTAGAGTGACCAAGGAGCTGAGCTTTTTAAAAGCAAAATCCTGCTAATAACCCAACAGCCTGAATAGATAGAGTGTCCACCTTATCATAATACTTACCGAGTGCCTGCTACTCACCCACCACTGTGCTGTGTGCTTTACCCCAATCCCCAATGACCTTCTTTAACACTCAGTCCACCATATAGGGTTAATATGCTCGTCTGCTTTTCTCATCTCATCTGGACAAGGAAAGTGAGGTTAAGCAACTGGTCCAAGGACGCAGTAAAGGAGAAGAGCCAGGCATGGATCCGGCTGTCTGACCCAGAGCCACAATGGCGCTTCCAAAGGAATGTTGAAAAAGAGTTCTCAACCCTTCTCACCCTTTATTCATTCCTTCTGATTAGCCTCCTAGGTGTCTTCAGGGTGCAAGTCACCGGAGTATCACAGGCACACCTCAAGCAGCAGGTGCATCTGGATGTGGCACTACACCAATAGCGGGATCTTTGATGAGCCTCCAAATACAAATCACTGAAACAGTTTTTCTCCAAGGTACTACTGTCCTCCCAGATCTTCTTCCTGCACTCAAAAAAACCTGCTCTTAGCAGGGTTTTATATCATAGTACGGAAAAGGTAAACATGAAGTTCTAAATTTAAAAATATACACAGAATGAATTTCATTTCCATACAAAATATAATCCTTTGGTAAAGTGATTTTGTTTAATCCCTGTGCCAGTGGCCTACGGGCATGAGGACTGGTCAATAATCACCAAAAGAAATGAAAAGGTGGACCCCTGGGAAACATTCCAAGCGATTCCAGGCCTGCGCAGTGGGGGTGCTGGGGCAAGGGGATGAAGCCTGGGCTTCCGGAGCGCCTGAGCGATGAAGTAGTAGGATTCACAGTGGGAGTCAGGGCCTCTGGGTCAGGAGTCGGGACAAGCAGTACTAAGTGTGTGGATGAGATGTGGCAGCTCAGAGATAGCGAAGGTGATGGACCTTGGAAGATGGAGCCTGGTGAAGCTTCTGGTGAAGACTGTTTCATCTTTTGGAAATTAATAGGTAGAAAGAAAACAAAAACAAGCAGCTAGACATAAGTCTCAACCCAAATGAGCAAGCACTTGAGACTATTTTATTAATATTTTATTACTGGCTAGAAAGACTTTTCAATATGCAAATTATTTCTTCCAAGAGTTTCCCCAATGTGATCTCAAGAGTCCGCGTCAACTCCTTTTCCGGAAACTTCCTTTTCTTAGCTGTTGTGTTCTTGGAGAGCCTGGGCCATGAAGAGTTTGCCTAAGTTCTGGGCAGTGAATTCCTTGATGTTCTGGCAGTAAGTATTGATCTGGCCTATGCATTTGGGAAAGTGAGAGAGAGTCATAATGATCCTCAGATTATAAAATGACCTGGAACTCAAACAAGAAGATCAACACAACACAGAACCACCAGTATTTTGTCTTGTTCTGAGTAAGAGGCAGTAAGAATCAATTCTACTTTCCATTAAGGGATGATAGGGTTAGTTCTTGAGCTACCTTCCGATCTTGGTCACCCAGAGAAGTAAAACTACAACTTTCAAAAAGGTAACCAGCAGTTAAGGACCTATTAGCTGTCAACCAAAATGAACTAACTACACAGCTCAGACCAACCACTGCACAAGGCAGAAAACAGCACTGGTCTCCTTAGCAGGTAGAAGAACTGTAAACTCACCCGACCCACAGAAGAGCAAGCATAGTGGTTTTCAGTCTGTGCTCTCCTCCCACCCCCAAAGCCATGACAGAGCAGGAGCACAGAGCCCACTGAAGAAGGACTTCATCACTCCTCTTAAGTCTGATTATCTGATCTGCTACAGCAGTTACATATTTTTTGAAAGTATGAGAAATACAATTCTGCATGCACTGGACCTTAAGTAAGGAACATGTCTCAGTTTCCCAAATTTAATTTATGTGTGTACTAGAAAGTTTGTGGAATTTAGATTTTTTTCCCCCATCCTAAAAATAGATCAATAGGAATATATCAATAGAAATTATAGAAGATCAGCTTTCCTTTGAGTAGGATTTTCACTCTAATAAATGCATCACAGACAACTGGCTAATTGAATCAAACAGTATTTAACAACATTTATATAGAAATAAGGTATTTATAGCTAATAAGCTCATGAATGTAATATATTCAAAATCAAGTCCTAGTGTAGGAAATAAAATCTCTACCACTTAAAGGAGGTGTTAAATGTTAATTATCCCCAGAGAAAGTCCATCAAGAATTGCATTCATGTTGCTACAATTTAAGTCAAAGTAAGGGAAACACTGTTGAGTCAGAAAACTGAACTCAGTTTAAACACCCACACACAGACGTGGGCTCAGTGCAGTGCTAGAACGCAAGCAGCAAAGGGCCGGGCTCAGTGATCTTCTGCATCATGAGACTGTAAAAATATTTTCTTACTTTCCATGAAAGATAACACAAATAAAACCTTCCCATTTTAGAAAGTTTATAATACCATCTCAAAAATGTTCAGATAAACACACAGTGAAGCACTGAACGGACTGGAAAATAACAGACTAGCAAATTCTTAAATTTCAGAAATTATAGGTACTAGACTCATATTTGTCATTCAACCATTTTAAGCACACTAGCTTTTATGACGTATACTTTGTTTTTTCAAATATCTCACTGCCACTTGCTTTCTAACGAACAGAGAAACCGGCCACGTGCACTGGCTAACAGTACCTGCAATGAGCAGCGAATCCATCCTGGCTGGGGGCTGCAGAGGCTTGAAGAGTTTGGACAGGTCCTCCTCGGGGAGGGGAGGTTCTCCGCGACTCTGGCGCTGCATGTTCTCCTGCTGGCGTCGCTGCTGATACTACACGTCAAAGGCAAAGGATCTGGTAAAGACTCCCTCACTTATGCAATTCGCAAAACCCCACTGCTCTGAATTCTGATCTGTTTTATAAGGGTAACCCTTGGTTCTAAGAGGCTAAATATTGCAACAGTAGAAGAAAATTCCTTTGCTGTAAACTTCAGTGTCACTCTGAGTTCTAAAAGTCTGTAACAATTTGGAAAAACAAGACTGGTTATGTGAGAAACAGGAGGCTTACAAGGCAAAGCAGCGCAGGATTAACTCCAAGGAGAAGGGAGGACCATGACCATTTATGACAATGGGATAAATGTAGCATTACAAGTGCAAGTCATCTTTCAGAACTAAGTAATGGAACTACCACATTGGGGAATTCTTTCAGCTTTATCCCTACTGACCAACATAAAAACAATACTGATGATGTTATTATTATGTTATTCTAATGCCATCATCACTATTATTATAATAGTAACTGCTATTACTATTAACAACAGATAAACCTGTGCTTTAGGTCTAGAGCTAAGAATGAATATTAGCTTAGATAATGCTTCCAAAACTTTCAAACTCTGGATTCCTATGATCCTCTGGAGAGAAGGTGGGGATCTATAAAGGTATAGATCACCTACAAACTTATGAGTCAAATTACAATCAAGAGCTAATAGTTGTGGACTGCTTACAAAAGCAGGGGAAAATAGCATCCCACACATAGCCTTAAAAGGTCAGGTAATGAGAAACCAAACAAGGCTAGCACAAATTTTAAGTTCTTGGAGTCCTGCAAACCAAGGGAAATGGCAGTTCTTCCTAAACTAGAAGAGTCACTTGCAAAGGTTCCTATACTTACTACGGGCTACGAATGGTAAGTAAGGATAAATATCGAATGCAAATTTAAGACATTAGAATTCTGAAAAGTATCTGTAAGACTGGTTTCCAGAATCAACTATCTCCTCAGCAACAGGTTTTCAACTGGATGTCCCAGGTTGAGTCCTTTAACGAAAGGAAGAACCAGCAGAACAAACAATAAAGTGGGGTTTTGTTTTGGGGTTTTTCCCCCAGCTTATCAGATCTGCACCATCACCATCTTCACCACCATTTTTTCAGTTAAAATACTTTATAGATTTATATGTGTGTTTACAATTCTAAGTAAAGAATTTTAAATTTCACTAAATAAATGAACACTGATATAAAAAATTTTTTTACTACAACATTCTCAGAATCACTTGGTTGTGCTTAGAATTCTACTGTTAACATCTAGTTTGAAGTACATTTTAATGAACACAAAGTAGGCATACACAAACACTTTCCCATATAAACATTCTGGAATCCACTTATCTATGAATCAAATGTTAAGAACATTTCAGAGCAACATAGCCCAGAAACAATATTCCAGGAACTGAGAAAATCATGTGGCCTTCAGGCAACGCTAATAAAGAAAAAGTTAAATGGCCATAGCAGTATATGTGCATATGAGAATCTTCAGGTAATTCTAGGGTTTTTATCTGTATTATACCATCTATTTCACAGCAGTTGGTCTATTATTTCCTATCAAAATTGCTTGCTCTTAATCACAATTGCTCAGTTTTTTAAATGAACTGAAGATTGCTAACTATGCTGCAATGAGCCACTACCAAACCAATTATAGTTAGTAAAGAAATGAGCTGTGACACTCTAGAATCTCTCTGCCTCTGATTTTCTCAATAAATGTAACTCTTATTTGCATAACCTTGGCCTTACAACCTGAGCTTATATACTAGCTCTCTTTAGGGCAGGTTATTTTTAAGTATAACTTGTAAATAATGTTAGGAACATACTACATATGGAATACTTTTTTTAAACATGATACAGAGCTACTAGCTAACAGTCAGTGCTTTATCAGAGGTCATTTAGGTCACTTTGAAGATGACTCTTGAGCACCGTACATGGAAACGAATTGTCTGTTGAATTTTTCCGAGATACCAACCTGGTGTTTCTGCTGCTGCTGCTTACTTGTATTTCTCATGTACGTATTATATTTAACTATATCCTGGCTCATCTCATCCACTCTGTCCATCAGCAACTGGAGAGTCTTCCCCAAATGATTGCTGAAACGTAAAGTAAATATAATGACGTGTCGCGCTTTAAAGTTCTAGCTCTGACGCTGCTCTGAAGAGTTCCAAGATACTACACTGATCCACCATTTGCTAAAAGAATGAGAGCACAGTACACATGAAAGCAAGGGCAGAGGAAACACTCAGTCAGCTTGTCATTCAGCCTTCCATGTCTGAAACAGCTCCATTCCTCACTGTCAGAGCACACACACATCAGGGTAGGAACTGGCAGGATATCTACAATGTATACTCTCTTCACAACCAAAGTTCAGTACTCCTAAGCTCTTTCCATTAGCATCCCCTCCCCCAAACTGTGCCCCAGAACATTTAAATCGGTGGCCATAGAAAGAAAGAATCATGCAAACAGACTAGGACTTCTGGCACATATCTAGCAGGTTCTAAAAGAGCAATAGCGGCATTTATTCTGTAAAGCGGAGTGAAGCAAGAAAGCGGGCTCCTTTCCTCTTGCCCTTCCTAGAATCTGTAGTACATTCAATCATACTTTTTTTTCCTCTCCAGAAATTTCCACTGCAGCTCATTTACCAAAATCTTCTTATAACATGATGCTAATGCATATCACTGATGCCCCAGCTAGGACAGCGGCCACCATACTGACTTCTGCCTGTGACTATCTCTTGCCAGGGTAAGGCCTGCTACTACATGTGTGTACTATGACATTAACTAGCCAAAAACAGTACTCATTCATTCATTAAAAGCCCTAGTACGTTCCAACTTCAGTGTTAGCAAACAGGGAGGCAACTGTGAATGAGGCATTCGTGGTCTCTATCTTCACAGAGCTTACAATTGATTGGGGGTGGGAAGAAAGAAAGGGCAACACTTTAAGCAGACACTTTAAGTAGTACAGCCGGAATATCTCTTTAGGAGAGGACAGGCCGAAAGCAAAAGATTAGAAGGAATCAGCCATGCAAGAAGCAACATAGGTGGAAGAAAGCACCATGCCGCAGGCCCGAGATAGGCGGGAACTAGACATAGAGAGGAGGTGGGCATGGCTGAAGCACAGCAACACGGTAGGGAGCTCAGGGAAGCACATAAGGGAAGTCAGCCGCTGTGCCACACAGCACCCAGCACAATGTGGACGGTGCCTTGGAGTTCTACATGTCTGTGACGCATGCTGCCTTAAATTCTAACATGACCACTCTGGCCCTGGCCACTGTGGCTGAGCTGGTTGGAGTGTCGTCCTATACAACAAAAGGTGGCAGGTTCAATTCCAGACTGGGCACATACCCAGGTTGTGGGAGGCAAGCAATCGATGTTTCTCACCTCTCCCTCTCTCCCTCCCTCTTTCCACCTCCCT